GTCAATTTATATTAATCCACCTTGAAAAGCTTCGAGGAGCCTAATTCTAATTATTGCTTTTGTGGAAATGTATTAAATTTAGTGGCACCCCCCATCCCAGTAGTCAATTGACATATTAGTTATTATAATTCTCAACTACAATTTTTTTCATCAGGCAAATGTAACAACGTTTTGTTGGTGCCTCCCCTCCCCCCCCCCCCCCCACCCTCATCCCCGATGTACCTTTAAAATGTTCACAGAAAAAATAAAATAACGGCGTTTATCTATAGTAGGTTATTAATACGGCTAGATGTGGCCTTATCGTTAGCAGGTTTACGTCTTGGTTTCAACCCCCCCCCCCCCTCCTCAGATCGGAATTTGTCAACGTGGCTCTTAGAAGACTATTTAACTCTAATTAATCAATCTGGAACGATCAATGTTTTTCTCTATATATTTTGCTATTTTTCGCCTTGGTGTTACCCTTTGTGGTACGCAACCCCCCCCCCCCCCCCCAACGCCGTCGCGACGCCTCTGAATTATAGGTCTCTATATTTTTAACGTTATACTTGTTTGAAAAAAAAAGAGTAAAATAGTTATTAGTCAAAATGCAATGTGATTCACTACACGTTGAATGATATTAGCGGCAAAGCAAAGAAATAAATAAATAGCTAAAGGTACGACACATTTAAAATAGTATAGGCTACCAATACCTATTTGCATGAAATAGTTCTTTTTTTTTTATATTCTAACACTGGAAGATGACGCAATTCGTATTGTGTTATTTCCGTAGTTTAGACATGTGTCATGTGACGTCATTGTTTATTGCGTTCCTATCACAATAATAAACACTTTTCCGGTTGCATAATTAAAAATGTGTTTCTACATTCGAATATAGTTTTAGTTTTATTTTCTTTCTTTAAATAAAATTTGGCTCATACATTTAAAACATCCAACATATTATTTTCAACAAAGCTCTGTATCTTTAAGTTCTCCATATATCGCTGAAGATGCCGATCACTTAGCCTGGGGACACGTGCACAAAGTGAGAGGGAGAAGTGCGCTCATGGGCTTTTATATATTAGGATACTAAAAAGTTTAGGGGAGATCACTCCCGCTTTAGAAATCTTCAGACCAAAAAGTTTGATATTTTTTTTTATTTTATACATTTTTAAAATTAGTAATATGTATATATATATATATATATATATATATATATATATAATTCTCTATGTCGCCCAACCATGCAAGACACCACCACGCACGCACGCGACTCTCTAACCCTCCTTACACCCACTCCCTTGCTCTCCAGGCATGCGCCATCACCCCCACCCCGACCAGTTTGCTGAGTTGTGGTTTACGCCGAATGTTTACAACCGTAGAGCCGGGACGAATTAGTGATTGCTACTAGGGGCAGAAAATTTAGTTCTAAAGTATTGTAAGCTAAGGGGAGGTACAAAGTTCTGCTTGATCTTTTCATTGTCGTCTTTAAACTCTCGCCAAGGACGGCTGCTTTCACGGAAGCGGAGGGGGGGAGGAGAGTGAGGGTAATCGATCTTCAATAGCTACTGATAGGTTTTTAAAGCAATACATTTTCAGTTGCAGTGTCGAATTCACAAATTATGAATTACTGAAAGTAGTATTTCAGTTTTGCGTACTTCTTATAATGTACTGTTAGGTGACGTTTAGTAAATAGTTAGGGCGATTACTTTGTTAAAGATTGGTTCAATTTTTACAAGCTTTTATTTAACTTGGTTCCTCTGTCGTCAGTCTGTCGTCAGTCTGTCTGTCTAGATCAAAACACTCGAGCGAAATTTCGGGCACTTCTAACTGACAGATTCGTTTTAAAGTTGGCACGAGGGTCATGACATGAAGAAAATGCAGTCTGACATGAAATTTGACTTTGTTAAATACTTAATTAATTTTTTATGAATTGTCAAAATGTGTAGGTTCTCTTATCCAACTATTCCGCACTATTATACGCGCATTTTCGTGTTCATTAGGTGTGCAATGGTCATGCAACTCTATTGCATTTACAAATTTAAAGTACGGGGAAAAAATCATTTAAAAAGTTTGGACGGTGACAGGACAAATGATCTCAGGACAAATGATCTCAGACAAAATATCTCAGACAAAATATCTCACGGACAAATGATCTCAGGACAAATGATCTCATGACAAATGATCTCAAGGACAAATTATCTTACGGACAAAAGATACCAGGACAAAATATATCAGGACAAATGATACCATGGACAATTGATCTCAGACAAAAAATCTCAGACAAAATATCTCACAGCAAAATTTATACTACTAAACTCAAGTTTGTTTACATGTTTGAATATTTGTTGTTGTTTTTTTTTTGTTTGTCTGATTGACTACTGCAAATGGATCTACGCTATATGCAGAACTGCAAAATAGTATGTAGGTAGAGAACAATTTTTGTTTTCAGACTGTTAATCACAAATTTTTTTAAAGACGTTAGTTAATTTATTGATTTATTCATAGGTAGATTAACCACATTAATTTTAAAGTTTTAGAACAATGGCTTTCTTTGACTGAATAGTGACGTCACAAGTTTTGTTTTACTTTTTAGTACAATAACATGGCGGCTTCAATCATACACTTTGTGGCCCATTCAAAAGTTTAACGCGTTCTAAAGCTAATTTTCTGTCGACCATAACTTTAACAATACGTCCGTTTTTATTACGTTCCAACACTTCTATAAATTTTCAACTGTCTTTTTCATTTAGTTTTAAAATAAATTTCTCTAGCTCTACAATCTGTCCAAGAAAGTTATTTATAGATCTAAAAATAATAGGTGGCCAAGCAAGTTATTTATAGATCTAGATCTAGAATCTAGGTCAAACCAAAGATTAATTAGATACATACCAAAGATTAATTAGATAAAAATGCAATCCATTTTATAATCACAATACATTTTTAGTCCTTAAATACATGATATAAATATTTATGATTTATCTATCTAGATCTGTCTAGATCTAGCTAGAATAGGTCTAATGATTAGATCTAGATTCTAGATCTAGATCTAGCAAAAGTTAGGCAAAAACTAGACTTAAACAAACGAGTCGTAGAATCTAGATCTAGATAATTCTATCTAAATCTAGATAATTTCAGACCTTAATTATTTTATATAAATCTTTGTTTGGCTAATTTAAGATAAAATTTAATTTGAAAGTTACTACTACTATACTTAGATCTAGATCTATGCGCGTAAATCAAGTTACATAAGGAGACTCAAAGTATTAAAATATAGTATAAAAAAACAAATCGGTGTTTTCGGTGTTTTTAAAAGATAAAAAAAATCTTTTTGAATGTGGGGTCTGGTTTTTTATGACGATAAAAGACAGACGTGATTTTTTTATGGATGACCCCCGAAACCCACAGTTATTCAACGGATGACGGGTAGTCTAGTATACTACTAAAACTCAAGTTTACATGTTTGATAACTAATTTTTTGTTTGTTTGTCTGATTTGTTATTGGAGAGAATCTGCATTATGTGTTGAGCTGTAAAATAGGATTTTTGTTGGAAAACATTGTTCTTTCTTGAACACACTGTTTATTACAAACTAATTTAAAGCCGTTAATTAATTTATTGATATATTTATTGGTAGATTAACCACATTAATTATAAAAGTTTAGAACAATGACTTTACTAATAGTAAAAAAAGATTTATTTTCTTTTTACAACAATGTTTTCAATTATTTTTTCTTAAGGCCTAGATGTGAATGATAAAGTTGACTATCAGGACCTCGCGGGGCACATGGCAGGTGAAGTAGAGTTCACCTGTTTGTATGTTCTCAGCATATGAAGGGATAGTGTGGTCAGAGCCATGCTCGGCCGGAATCGTTTTTTTTTTAATACAAACATGTCTGAGACTTGGCGGGACACTGGGCAGGTGAAGTCAAGTTTGTAGAGTTTTAAAATATAAAAAAACGTCTTTTTGAATGTGGGGTCTGGTTATTTTGGGATGATAAGTGCTGATAGACGTAATGTCATTTATGGATGACCCCCGAAACCCACAGTTATCTAACTAGATAACGGGTAGTCTAGTAGATAATAAAGTGACCCAAGCTTTTCTTTATAGTTATTTAAAGAAATTCATTTATTTTCTATTTTTTAGTGCTTTATTACATAATCTTGTTACTAAAACTTTATTTATGATTTTTTTTAAAAGCTTTTATTTAACTTGCGTCCTCTGTCTGTCGTCAGTCTGGGTTAATGAAATTTCATATATAGGTATTTTATCAAAATCGTAGATCGGTATAAACTTTTGAGCGATTTCCGATAACCGTAAGTGATACTTTTTCTACTTTGAATTTTTCAAAAGCCTATAACTTGAGTACTATTTCAGATAGATAAATGAAATTTCACATGTAAGTAAAAGATCTAATTTTCTACCTTCTGTCAAATTTTGAGTAATTACCGTTGACCGAAAGTACTAATCTACGCAATTTCCGATTTTTCAAAAACGCATGTAAATTTATAAAGTACTAATAATATTGCGTACTATTATGCACATTTTGTTTTGGCGTTCGCTTGGTGCGCAATTCATTCTTTCTAATACATTTTATTCTATTTTTTAAAGTTTAAGTAAACAAAAGTCATGTCTATATTCCGAATTGCCATCCCACGTAGTGTTATATTAGAATATTCGAGAACGTTTAGGGGAGATCACTCCCGGTTTATTTTATTAAATTAGGAGTCAACAGCTCCTTGCTTAGCCAGAGTTGAAACGACACCCGTTAGTTAAAATCCCTGTAGATAATATCATTTTACCTACACCCGATTTAACCCTTTTGAGGGCTTATAGATTGAAAAGTTACATTTTTAGTTATCTTTCGGCAAAGAAATTATTAAAGCAAGGAAATATTACCTAGTATATTCACTAATTGTACATTATTTCCAACTTATCTTTAAAATTACTTAACTAAACTAAGCATTAAATAATGGACTATCTATTAAGACGACATAAAAAAATAAAAAAACAAAAGAAATTCATTAAGGAGTAGCATTCTTTTTTTAATTCAGCGTTTTAGCTTCAAATTCTATTTAAAATATATTTCTAGCTTCATAAATAATGCAATAAATTTTAAGAGCACAAATATGAAGGTTTTCATATTTCAGAGCTGTGTAAATCATAAAGAATTGCCAGTCCTATTTCATGAGGTGTTCAAATAATTGACGCAATAATCTATTTTCTGATACCTAGACCTTGAACTACTGGGACAACAGCTTGGCCGATTTGAAGGATGGTGTTGAGGATTGAAGCGAAATCCTCTTGTTGGGTTGATCTGATGCCAGTGCTTTGAATAACTGGAAGAATAGCGGTACCAATTTGAAGGGCGGCGTTGAGAATTGAAGCGATGTCCTCTTGGGTTTCTTTCTTTCCAAGACTTTGAACCACTGGAAGAACAGCAGTTCCAACCTGGAGAATGGTGTTGAGGATTGAAGCGAAGTCTTCTTGGGTTTCCCTGATTCCAAGACCTTGAACTACTGGAACAACAGCTTGGCCGATTTGAAGGATGGTGCTGAGGATTGAAGCGAGGTCTTGTTCGGTTTCCCTAATACCTAGACCTTGAACTACTGGAACAACAGCTTGGCCGATTTGAAGGATGGTGCTGAGGATTGAAGCGAGGTCTTGTTCAGTTTCCCTAATACCTAGACCTTGAACAACTGGAACAACAGCCTGGCCGATTTGAAGGATGGTGCTGAGGATTGAAGCTAAGTCTTCTTGGGTTTCTCTGATACCAAGACCTTGAACTACTGGAACAATAGCTTGGCCAACCTGGAGAATGGTGTTGAGGATTGAAGCGAAGTCTTCTTGGGTTCCTCTAATACCTAGGCCTTGAACTACTGGAACAACAGCTTGGCCGATTTGAAGGATGGTGCTGAGAATTGAAGCGAGGTCTTGTTCGGTTTCTCTGATACCAAGACCTTGAACTACTGGAACAATAGCTTGGCCAACCTGGAGAATGGTGTTAAGGATTGAAGCGAAGTCTTCTTGGGTTCCTCTAATACCAAGACCTTGAACTACTGGAACAACAGCTTGGCCGATTTGGAGGATGGTGTTGAGGATTGAAGCGAAGTCTTCTTGGGTTTCTCTAATACCAAGACCTTGAACTACTGGAACAACAGCTTGGCCGATTTGGAGGATGGTGTTGAGGATTGAAGCAAAATCCTGTTCGGTTTCTCTGATACCAAGACCTTGAACTACTGGAACAACAGCTTGGCCGATTTGAAGGATGGTGCTGAGGATTGAAGCTAAGTCTTCTTGGGTTTCTTTCTTTCCAAGACTTTGAACTACTGGAAGGACAGCAGTTCCAACCTGGAGAATGGTGTTAAGGATTGAAGCGAAGTCTTCTTGGGTTTCTCTAATACCAAGACCTTGAACTACTGGAACAACAGCTTGGCCGATTTGAAGGATGGTGTTGAGGATTGAAGCGAAGTCTTCTTGGGTTTCTCTGATACCTAGACCTTGAACTACTGGAACAACAGCTTGGCCGATTTGAAGGATGGTGTTGAGGATTGAAGCGAAGTCTTCTTGGGTTTCTCTGATACCAAGACCTTGAACTACTGGAACAACAGCTTGGCCGATTTGAAGGATGGTGCTGAGGATTGAAGCTAGATCTTGTTCGGTTTCCCTGATACCTAGACCTTGAACTACTGGAACAACAGCTTGGCCGATTTGAAGGATGGTGTTAAGGATTGAAGCGAAGTCTTCTTGGGTTTCTCTAATACCAAGACCTTGAACTACTGGTACAACAGCTTGGCCAATTTGAAGGATGGTGTTGAGGATTGAAGCGAAGTCTTCTTGGGTTTCTCTGATACCAAGACCTTGAACTACTGGTACAACAGCTTGGCCAATTTGAAGGATGGTGTTGAGGATTGAAGCGAAGTCGTCTTCGGTTCCCCTAATGCCTAGACCTTGTACTACTGGAACAACAGCTTGGCCGATTTGAAGGATGGTGCTGAGGATTGAAGCGAGGTCTTGTTCGGTTTCCCTAATACCTAGACCTTGAACTACTGGAACAACAGCTTGGCCGATTTGAAGAATGGTGTTGAGGATTGAAGCGAAGTCTTCTTGGGTTTCTCTAATACCAAGACCTTGAACTACTGGAACAACAGCTTGGCCGATTTGGAGGATGGTGTTGAGGATTGAAGCGAAGTCTTCTTGGGTTTCTCTGATACCTAGACCTTGAACTACTGGAACAACAGCTTGGCCGATTTGGAGGATGGTGTTGAGGATTGAAGCGAAGTCTTCTTGGGTTTCTCTGATACCTAGACCTTGAACTACTGGAACAACAGCTTGGCCGATTTGAAGGATGGTATTGAGGATTGAAGCAAAATCCTCTTCAGTTTCTCTCTTTCCAAGACTTTGAACTACTGGAAGAACAGCAGTACCAACCTGGAGAATGGTGTTGAGGATTGAAGCGAAGTCTTCTTGGGTTTCTTTCTTTCCAAGGCTTTGAACTACTGGAAGGACTGCAGTACCAACCTGGAGAATGGTGTTGAGGATTGAAGCGAAGTCTTCTTGTGTTGCTCTGATACCAAGACCTTGAACTACTGGAACAATAGCTTGACCAACCTGGAGGATGGTGTTAAGGATTGAAGCAAAGTCCTCTTGTTGGGTGGATCTGATGCCAGTGCTTTGAATAACTGGAAGAATAGCGGTACCAATTTGAAGGGCGGCGTTGAGAATTGAAGCGATGTCCTCTTGGGTTTCTTTCTTTCCAAGACTTTGAACCACTGGAAGGACAGCAGTTCCAACCTGGAGAATGGTGTTGAGGATTGAAGCGAAGTCTTCTTGGGTTCCTCTAATACCAAGACCTTGAACTACTGGAACAACAGCTTGGCCGATTTGAAGAATGGTGTTGAGGATTGAAGCGAAGTCTTCTTGGGTTTCTCTAATACCAAGACCTTGAACTACTGGAACAACAGCTTGGCCGATTTGAAGAATGGTGTTGAGGATTGAAGCGAAGTCTTCTTGGGTTCCTCTAATGCCTAGACCTTGAACTACTGGAACAACAGCTTGGCCGATTTGGAGGATGGTGTTGAGGATTGAAGCGAAGTCTTCTTGGGTTTCTCTGATACCTAGACCTTGAACTACTGGAACAACAGCTTGGCCGATTTGGAGGATGGTGTTGAGGATTGAAGCGAAGTCTTCTTGGGTTTCTCTAATGCCTAGACCTTGAACTACTGGAACAACAGCTTGGCCGATTTGGAGAATGGTGTTGAGGATTGAAGCGAAATCCTGTTCGGTTTCCCTGATACCAAGACCTTGAACTACTGGAACAATAGCTTGGCCAACCTGGAGAATGGTGTTGAGAATTGAAGCGAAGTCTTCTTGGGTTTCTCTGATACCCAGACCTTGTACTACTGGTACAACAGCCTGTCCGATTTGAAGAATCGTTGACAGTATTGAAGCAAGATCATCTTGAGTTGCTCTAATACCAGTACTTTGCAATACTGGTAAAATGGCCTGGCCAATTTGCAGTGCGGTGCCAAGGATAGAGGCAATATCTTCTTCTGTCTGTACCCCTGGAATAAGGGCGGCTTGTTCCCTGATAGTTACAGTAATGGTGGCTCCCCAATCTTCGGCGGAGACCTACGTAAAATACAGATACGTTTTATAAAATGTGTTAATATTTTCTAATACAATATTTAACAAAGCGGAATATTGATCTCATTTCTTTCGCATAATTATATAGACAAAATACATTTTTTTTTAAATAATATATATATATATATATATATATATATATATATATATATATATATATATATATATATATATATATATATTTATATATGTGTGTATATTGTATATATATATATGTTACATATATATATATATATATATATATATATATATATATATATATATATATATATATATATATATATATATATATATATATATATATATATATATATATATATATATATATATATATATATATATTCTGAGTGCATGCTCATCTTACCTCTCGCCTGTTGGATGGAAGTGCTGAGATTGACCCCACAAGGAGGAGCAGGAATACAGATGGTGCAATCATTTTGCGTATGTTGGGCTGGAAGAAAAAGACCATGTTTAGGGTACTTCAGAAAAATAAAATTTGCTCATAGCATACTAACATGATTTATAGCCCAAGTTGCTATACATTTGGTAAATGTGTTGGAAATGTTGTTTGATAAATATTTTTTTGTACACATCAAGTTTTAATTAGCACGAAAACCCGACAGCCTTCATTATTTCTTATATTTTAACCAATTTACGTCCTTTTTTGTTTTTTAATATTATTATTATTATTATTATTATTTTGAAAAAGAAATGTCTAGCTCAACTTTTAAAATATTCAGTTCTTTTGCATTTGGATAGCTAATAAAAAATCTTTTAAAAATGTTGGGGCTGGTTGGTAACATAATATAATTTTATTCATTTAATTTATACTATAAATCTGTTAGAGTACAGTTTTAATATTGCTCAAAGTTGTAGAAACATATATAGCGATTTCGTTAACAAATTTTAAAATTTATCCGCAATTTAATGGTTGAAAGAAGAAATTTTTTTAAATGGAAAGAAAGAAAAAAAAATAGCTATAAAACACGATTTTATTCAATATTAAATCAATTTAACTAATATTTAAAACTTATAAAATAAATGCTTCATCTTTCTATAACTTTTACTCGTTTAAAAAATTTAGACTAAACAATGCAAAAGTAACACTCATATTGGTTTCCAAAAATTGATTTGAATCATCACAAATTTGTTATTTCCATATTTCACAGTAGAGATTAAAATAAAGTTAAGTGAGATCCTTTATTTGGAAATTAAATGCTGAAAACCTTAAATGCTTATAATGTAAAGCAGTATTTATAATTGAACACAAGCTATCGTATTCTATACCTGGAAAAACTTTTATATATAACAGAGAGTGTAAAATCTGATTTATATAGAAAGAACACATAATTTATTTTAAAATGCAACGGTTAAAACGTTCGACAAAAATGTTTCTTGAAAATAGCTTTTTTTTAATTTATTTATTTATTCTTGTGAATATTTTATTCTTATGAAATTATTTACAAATTAAAATACAATAAAATCCCACATGTTGAAAAATCTGGATTTTAGTAATATTTTTGTAGCATTCAGCTCACAACTAAAACAGCATAAAGAACATGAATTGTACTGAGAAAGAAATTAAAACAACACATCCAACTAAGTTTCAAATAAGTATTTTGAAAGTGTACTGTACTTACAACGCAAGAATCAACGTGGAAGCAGTAGTTCGACTTAAACTGGCTGTCTCTCTCTATTATATACACAAACACTTTCAGATAATCGTGATTTTTTTTTTCATGCGAAAGAAAAAAATACGTACTCGGCCCCGAAAGAATCGTGTGGTCTCGATCTATATTTTTTCTTTATTTTTTTTAAAAAACTCGTGTGTTTAAAACAATGTATGGCAAAAAAATGTGGGTTGTCTAATACACATCATATGATATCGTTATTTATATGGACACAGTAGGTTTATAGTGAACATTTAGGATATGTACACGTAAAAAAGAAATAATTATACATGATTATCCTTTTAAATAACATACATTAATGTTATTTTTACATTATACATATATATCATCTACACACACTTATGTATGTGTGGTGTGTGTACGTGCGTGTGTGTGTGTGAGTGTGTGGGTGAGTGAGTGAGTGAGTGTGTGAGTGAGTATGTGAATGTATGTATGTGTGTATGTGTATATTGGTCTATAATTGAGAGATTTACAAAAAGGGTAATTATATCATGCATTAGCCCAAAATCCCAAAAAATATCCAAACAAGTATTAGCATTTACTTATTGTCCTTTACCTCTCCAACTCAAAAGTTCACGTCTCTAGTTCGGATGATCCTCACGTTCAAATGAACTTCAAAATATTTCATTGAATAATTGATTTTTACTTTCTCGTATATACGAAGTATAGAGAAAGTCTTGTAATCGTAAAAAAAAATCGAGATTTTTACAAATCTCGACGTTTTACACCTCACTGATACGAAAAAACATAATTTTGCCATCTTGTCCGTATGTCTGTGTCTGTGTGTGTGTGTCTGTCTGTGTGTAAACAGGATAACTTGAGTACTGTTACAGTTAGGTTGATGAAATTTCATATATAAGTATTTTATCAAAATAGTAGATCCTGATAAACTTTTCAGCGATTTCCGATAAACGGAAGTGGTACTTTTTCTACTTTGAATTTTTCAAAAGCCTATAACTTGAGTACTATTTCAGATAGATAAATGAAATTTCACATGTAAGTAAAAGATCTAATTCTCTACCTTTTGTCAAATTTTGAGTAATTACCTTTGACCGGAAGTACTAATTTACGCTGTTTCCGATTTCTCAAAAAACGCATGTAAATTTATAAAGTACTAATAATATTGCGCACTATTATGCACATTTTGTTTTGGCGTTCGCTTGGTGCGCAATTCATTTTTTTTTCTACTAGATTTTATTCTATTTTTAAAAGCTTAAGTAATTAAAAATCATGTCTATATTCCAAGTTACATAAGAATATTCGAGAAAGGTTAGGGGAGATCACTCCCGGTTTATTTTAGTAATGTAATATGGTAAATAAATTGTCACTTTTGTCTGTAACTCTCAGGGTAACTAAGTGTTTACTAACGTATTGGACTACAGGGGTCGTCCATAAATTACGTCACACTCGTAGGGGGGGGGGGAGAAGGGGGTCCGTATTTTTGTGACGGTGTGTGATGGGGGGGGGGGGGATTCAACTGGTGTGACGTCGCACTTTTGCATTATGAAAAAGCAATGTTAGAACACGAATTTCAGACGTTATATCGCGTTTTAGAAAACAGTTTTAATATATTGTAATAGGAATTGATTAAAATACTCTACGTTGACAAGACAAGGTTTTGGGAAAATATCGTATTTTAAGAAAAAAGCTTGACGTCATTTATGGATGACCCCATATCACTTTCTAAATTAAATCATTGTATTTTAATTATTCTTATTTTTTTTTTTTTGTTATCTTTAACAGTGATATTCAAAGTCATGTATTAATAACAATGATATGCATGTCATTGGTTTTTTTTTCTTCGTTTTGGGTTAGTTGGGAAATAAAATTATGGCTTATCAAACAGCACTATTTTTGTTTTGTGTCATGGCGGTATTTAGATATCTATTTGACCCCTGTTTACAGTTGATGTGGCACTGGTTGCTTCACTATTCGTCCGACTTGCTTTATGACAACAATAATTGTCCATTACTATTTTATTAAATCGTAGGTTTTGTTCTTAATTTTGAAGTGTTAGGTACACTCAACCCACGATATCTGAAAGTTATTTTTAGTTTTATTCAAATCACGAAATATTTTTTTTTAAATCACACCAAACCTACTAGAGCATTTAGTAGTATAAGGATTACTGTTATCTATAACTTACATCCACTGTTTATCTTTAACACCGTGTGCGGAACTCTCACGGTCTTTTGTCGTGTCGTAACATGGGAAGAGACACAATGGTTTGTTATTTTCAATTTTTTCACTAACCCATAAAAATATTCTGTCACGATTTTGAACAAGAAGCTATTTTTGAAATTCGTAAAACTCAATTATATTTTTTACCTGCATCATTTAATTTTATAATTAATAATCATCTATGACATTTACACATATGTGTATTTTTAACCAACCCATTAGTCTCTATTAATTACTTAATTTAATTTGCAACATTTGTATAAGATTGTAAACTACTTTTTTAAAAATATTCTCAAACCAAGTTTATGAAGCTAGTTGTTTTAAGATTATTCATTAGCTAAAAAAAATTTACTAATATCAAAGTGCACATTTTTTAAAACTTTAATTTTAAATTAATTTTAAAACATTGCAGCTTTCTATTTTATTATGATGTTAAATAGAAATATATACATAAACGTAAGGTAAGTAATATTTGTATTCTACATTTACATTTTGTTAAGTAATTTAACAGCTTGTGTATGAATACAATGTTATATATATTTTTATGTTATCATAACTTCGGAAGAGAAGCTAAGAGGCGTCTAGAAAATAAATTTACCACTGTATAAATTATATTATTTTTTCACGTCATGTGAGAGTGATAGACTGAAAGAAAGTCAGATTCCATTTTGATGTTTACAATTCTAAAGGTCTTTAAATTGTTCATGCTGGAGATATGTTGTTGTTTTGGAGATTACATTTCTTTTAAACTGTAGGGTGATCAAGTGGCGAAGATGACGTACATACATACTTACATACATACATACATTCATAAATAAATAAAAGCGTATTATTTTCATTATTTTTAATTTCTTTTTTTTTAGACCGCGGATGCCTTCTAACATTCATGATAATTAACATGAATGGAGGAATGCAAATTTCAAGTGGTGCACTGTCAAAACGGCTCCTACAGAGTAAACCTGACAAATTTGCCCCAGACAACAGGACCCAATCTAAATAAGTCTGATAAAAGGAATACCGAGATACCGATTCACGAAATATGGGCTACTGACAAATGGGCTTCCGATCAATAGGCTTCAATCACAATGACTCGCAACATATTTATTCTGGACAAATAAGTATTAAAAAAAAAAAAACCTACAGCAATTAATGAACTTTTGGTTCAAATCAGGTTCTTTTGCAGCTAAGTAAAGAATAATTTTGAAATTTACGTAATAAGTTGTCAACACTCGTAAATATTTGTTATTTAGAAGCGAGCACATAATTAAAGATTAGCTAAACATTGTGTTAGCAGGATAAACGAGGTTGTGTTTTGATAACCTACAAACATTAAATTAATGTTAAATGTAAAGAATGCAAATCCCCCACCCCGTTACTCTTCCAATACAGTTAACCTGAGTCGGAGCTCTAGTGATACCATAACTGGTTGACCCTTAAGTTTAAAAACTTATTTTTACACAGTTACTAGGTAATATGATGTAAAAAAATAAGTATGATATGAGATGTATGGCCACTTATGTTGTTGTTTTTTTTTTTTAAATTAAAGCGATGTTAGCTGAGCTAATTCTGAAGTGCATTGCTGAATGCAGTGGCGTAGCCAGGATCGTCTCAAGGGGGGTTCCAATTTTTACCCAGGGACAAACTTTCGATTTGCACCCCCCCCCCCTCAAACTTTCGATTTGCACCCCCCGCCCCTCAAACTTTCGATTTGCACCCCCCTCATACTTTAAATATATATATATATATATATATATATATATATATATATATATATATATATATATATATATATATATATATATATGATGACAGGACAAATGATCTCAAGACAAATGATCTCAGGACATTGTCATGGAACCATATATATATATATATATATATATATATATATATATATATATATATATATATATATATATATATATCGAGGGGTCTATGGGGGGGTATCATCATCATCGTCATCCCTCCTTTGTGGCCCCTGGGGAGCAAAAAGCTGCAACCACACATCTAACCTACCCCCCCCCCCTGCCTACGCCACTGGCTGAATGGGTTTTTCTGCCAGGAGCCATGTTGAATATGGGAGTTTTGCCTTAAGATTTATTTTTGCGAGCTGTATTGGCGTGACCCATTAGTTAGGAGACTAAATGACTGGAGTATTATTGAAGGAAGCCCCTTTGACGATGTCGTTTCGATGTAGCCGTTTTTTTCTGTGGCTGTTTCGGCTCAGCACGAGTTCAAGTATACGGATAGATTAACATCTTTTTTTAAAGGAATGCTATACATTGGATTTAAAATATGTACTTTATAGTTAAATCTATTAAAACGTATACTTTAGTGGGCCTAACCAACGAACAATTTTATGTGATGCAGAAAAAATAAAACATATCTTCTCTACCTACTAATTAGGTAATTTTAATTCCGAGTGAGTTTATTGAAAATTACACAATTAAATCAACTATAGATATGAGACAGTACAATGATTGAATGAGGCATGAAAATATTCTACAGGGTTAACAGTAAAAGTAAAATTCCATTTTTCAAGCCTGACTGTCAAGTGAAGTAGAGTTCACCTGTTTCTGTGACCTCGGCATATGAGGGGATAGTGTGGTCACCACTATGCCCAGCCGCCTTCACTTTCCCATCAGAGTTGGGTGGACTCAGTGACAGTCTACAGACTTGAACCCGGATTCGAACTTACGGGTTAGTAGTCCAGCTCTCTACCGCTAGACCACTGCGTCCCCAGTCTACAGGTTTAGGTATGATACTATCAGAGCAAAAGTGGTTGAAATAAAGCATGTGCACATACACTGAGATGCCAGAGTCATCGTTAGCCCTCAGTATAAGACTTGGCCAACATGGACTGAGAACCTACGAGGACTCAAGATATGAGATAAGAACAAGAAGGTTGAGAATCAATGTGACCAATGCATAAGAATGTAGATATAAAAAACGAAATACGTCACGCTAGTAAACAAGATAAGAAAATTGAGGTTAAGATCCTGTTAGAACAAAGAAGTTTGTACTGAAAATGTTTTTTTTTTTCAATGAATGAAAGTCTGTGCTCAGTGGCCAAGATGAAGTGAGTGGTCCTTCACGGGATCAGCATGGACCTCGAGTGATATCCTTTAGGGGGTGACACCTGATAGAAAAATAGTATAAATTTACTGTCTGTAAAATAAATTCTTTATTTAAAAAAATAATAAAGTACATGGGGAATGTGTGTGATACTAAAGCGAAAGGTGTGGGAAGACACTCAACATTGTGATGCCATTGCCTCGAAGCATGTTTCAAATGTTGAAAAATCTTAGTTTCAGCCAGGAAAAATGAAAACTGTGTTCATCAGTCCTAACACGGCCTTTTTTTTTTTTAAAGTTACATCTTTTACTCGGTTGATAGTAGCCCAATATCGTTCCATAATATTAGATTTTATACGATCGGAAGGAGATTTTTACCAACGGCTGACATTATTTATATTTGAATAATCTTCCTGTAAAACATCTACGTAACGAATGTACAAAATATAATAACAGTTCTGGTTGCCATGGAAACCACGAAAACGAGTGAAAACTATCACCTTTAAAAAAACTATTTTCCCAAAAGAGATTAAAATCTGATAATGGATTTAGATTTCTAAGACAAATCTATACATTTCAACTTTTTTGCATTTTGATAGCTTGTGTTCAATTTTTAATACTTATTTGTAAGTACAACTGTGAAAAAAAAATTACGGGGTGGTGCTACATAAATATCAATATTTCCTAAAGTATTGCAGTATACTTGGTGCACAAATGTCGTATTGTTGATGGTATAAAGTATAATGCTGAATCCATGTGGAAAGTTTCAGTATTGAATGACAAAGGGTTTTTAGAAACTTGGCGATTTTAATTTGGAATTTTGCTCAAAAGTGCAAAGATGAGAACATTTGAAAAATAAACCGGGAGTGATCTCCCCTAAACTTTCTCTAAGTTCTAAGAACAATTGTTAATCGACTAGATTAAGTTCTGTTAGTCTGCCGGTCTTCTCACTTCAATGCAATGTATATCACTACTTAAATTTAACTTACACAAGTCTATTGACTCTTGATAGTAGCCTACCACCCAATCCTGTGTTAAGCGCTTAAGGCAAGACACACCCCAACACCAGGGGCGGAACTACAGTGCCGCCAGACCCCGCAATGCGGGGGGGCCCACGCCATTTAGGGGCCCACATCCGACCAAAATAAATTTTTTATATTTAAAAAAAAATTTCCTTGCTTTTTTTACTTGATGGTTGTTTAGTAAAAAAGATTACCGTAGCTTCTACAGACACCATCCCACGCTCTTGTATATTTTTCCCTTTGTTTTTAAACCACTGTGAAAGTGAAAGCCAAGTCTTCTTTCTCCTACAATCAAACTTATCAAAGCTAAGCAAACGTTCAAACCACTTCCATGACTTATTTCCCTTTTTTAAATAGTCAAATAAGGGTGCTAATTAGCTCCTTTTAATAGATTTGTACTAAACAAATTAAAAAGCAATTACTTCTCTTAATTATAATTTGTTTGTAAAGTACTTACTTATGAATAACATTGTATAAAAAGGAAATGTATTTAAAATTAATAATATAAATTCGAAAACAAAACATGAAAATAAACATAACACGAGACACCATAACTTACATACAAAGCTTTCATGGTTTATATTATTTTGAACGACTAGAGGTTAAGAGGTCTCATAGCAGAAATAAAATAAAACTGATTTTTACAAAACTCACTAATGCACTTACACACATGGCATGATGTTGTAATTTGTTTTAATTGAAAAAAAAACACCATTTTTTTCAAAACCCGAACAGGCCAGCAACGAATATCCTATGTTCGCATGTCGTGTTTGATAAATGTATATATATATATATATATATATATATATATATATATATATATATATATATATATGGAGGGGGGACCTAAAAAAAATTTTTGCGGGGTGGCCCAATTTTTCTAGTTCCGCCACTGCCCAACACCCCCTACCTCCCCTCCCCGATTGCTGGTAAACCCTACACGGAACCAGTGTTTCTTCCAGACTTTTTTCTCCGGGGGGCACTTGAAATTTTCGGGGGGGGGGGGGCGGTAGACTTTCTTCGGGGGGGGGGGGCGGACACTGTTAAAATTATATATTTTCTATATAAATTATATAAATTTCATTTCGTACGGGGGGGGGGGGCGGTAGAATTTTTTCCCCCGAAGAGATGCCTGGAAGAAACTCTGCACGGAACAAAGGGCTTACACTAAGTTACATATTAACACATGTGTCGTTTACAGTCCGGTGTAAAGTCTGATGTACCCGTTCAAACCTAACACAAAATGATCACGATGTAACAAGATTATAAACTGGACGTTGGTTGACAATGAAGCAGGAGAAGATGGGAACGGGATATCGTTCGTTCTTTAAACTTACAGTATAGGCATGTTCTTCACGCAATGTTTCAGCTTAGTATGAAACCAAAACGTAATAAACCATATTTAATAATGTTCCAGTGACAATCAACAGTACATTTCTTGACAAAGTTTTACATATTAACATGTATGCTGGTGTATAATTTTGAAACACCAAATTAAAGAGTAGGCCTATGTTATAACAATTAAAATAAACAAACGAAGACAAGCTATTGATGGTTTATATAATTAAAAGATGGCTAACCAGTGCACGTGGTTAGTCGCCAACCTATTGTAAACTGTTTTGATTTACTGTGCCGTAATATGATTGGTCAATCATATCAATGAATCTCTACCCATTCATTATTTTTACGCATATGCCCTTATATAGAGTTTGACGAGAATTTTTACTTTCTATAAAACAACGCTTATCCCACTTATTTTTAGAACAAACAAAAACGTCTCTACACCATCGTGCATACGAGTGTCTAGCCGAAAGATTGATGTACAGTTTATGATGCTTCGTGTGCTATAAATTACGTAACACACGTTCGAAGATAGCCTCTATCCACGTGGTAGTGTAAAAGAAAAATTTGGGGTACCATGTTCCACATCACAATAAAAAGATAGCCGTTGGCTGTATATGTTTGAAATGTTCAGGTTAGATAGCTAAGTGGTATTACTATCAAAATTAGAGTTAAACCCATACTAGTAAACAAAATGTAACTGTTACTGTCGAAAACGTGTGGTGTCTGGCCTTAAATGGTTACTTATAAAGTACTATTTGCCGCGCTATTATACGCACATTGTTTGTGTTCATTTGGTGTGCTATCTTTTTTAGTCATGCAATTCTATCGTATTAAAGTTTTAAAAGTATTCATAAAATGTAATTTAAACATTTATTTACAAGCTTTTATATAATTATGCAATGAAAAGAAGAAAATAAATGATTTTTCAACACCAAAAAATTAAATGAACTTCTGATTTAAAGATTAAAATAGTGTTTTGTATAGTAACAACCCAAAATTACGCTGATAAGAGATATTTAATATGGTTTGCAAGAGAAGAGGATGGATAACAATCGGGGGCCTTTGGCTGCTGCCCTTTCAGCCCCCTCCCCCTTCCCCTATTAATCTGGTACTACTGCTGTCACCATATCACCATGACCTGGTGTGTAACATCCTATTATGGACGATCCATTTTATAATTTTAAGCTGGATACAATCGTTAATTATACACGTTAATAATAATAACAAGTTAGATCTGTATGTAAAATGTATATATTTTCTGCTTTTAGTAAGAAGTCGAAAAATATTTGTAGTAAAATTATAAACTTTTCTAAACTTTTACATTAAAGAGCGATGACTTTCTAAGAAAATAAAACAAACTTAAGGAAAAATGAACATGGCATTAAAAATAACGTAGGCCCATTTTATTAAAGTGTTTTAACGATAATAGAATGCATCATGTGTGAAAAATTCGTCCATATAACACTTGAATTAATTCTAGATCTATATTCTAGACTCAGTGCATTTTGCATAGGCCACTTCTCACAATCTACCATTTTCTTTGTGCTCACTACTCACAGTCACTACTCACTATTCAGTACTATTCACTCAACTCATTGATTATTTATTGTATTCAACAACATTAACAATTTCAATACATAGTCATAGTCATATTAGTTAGTCACACCAGAGGCGTAGCAACCCTTCCCGGTGCCTGGGGACAAGCTTTCAATTTGCCCCCCCCTCCCCTGCTGAGGACAAACTTTCAATTTGATGCCCTCTCTATAGAGTATAGATCTATATATTTTTTATTTATAATGCAAAACTGTAGCTAAAATGAGCTTTTAATGTTTTCCAACCTATTTTGGCGCCCCCTAAGGCTGGCGTCTGGGGACATATGTACCGCCTCATCCACCCTCGCTACGCCTCTGTGTCACACTCAATGGAGGCGACCGAGTTGACGAGAATCCTTCCATCATATTGTTGACATGGATTAAAAACCTGCTTTTTTACATTTATTTTGCAATGAAAGTGACCGTAAAAATAATAAAAAATATAAACTAGACAGATTTTCTAACTATATTCATATAAAGTAAATCCCCAACCCCTCTTCGTTTACTATACAGTACAGGTATCATGATTCAGCAATGCAGCTACCTCAAAGTAATAATAAAAATGTCAAAAGGGGTGGAAAAAAAGCACTGATGACTAAGAAACTAGTCTAACTATTGCCCTGCATGAGAAAGTGATTGTCAGGTTGTTAAATTAAACTGGTAATTTATAATACTAGGGTAACTTTAACCTAAACTCTGAAACATATTATCTAAATTACTGCAAATCTAAAGCCTAATATCACTTTACTAGTTACACTAGTAAGAAGTTATCAGTGTTTAAGGTTTTTATAATAGTTACACTAGTAAGAAGTTATCAGTGTTTAAGGATTTTATAATTAAGGTAAAAAATAAATAGCTCAGTTCTTTAAATAAAATTATAATGCTGTTGGCTGTTGTGTTACAGGTAGAAATTAAATAACTGAGACAAAAGAATAAAACATGGCAGCAGAGAAGAAAAAGAGCTTAGTCAACCTAAAGTTGGATATGCTGGAGGATGAGAGAAACAGTTTGGTTGAGGCTGTGGATGCCTACATCAGCAGTGTAAGTCTGCCTTGATTTTAGAGTAAACAGCCTTCAACAACCCTGAATCTTGTGTCATAGTCTAAGCTGAGAAATTTGTTGGGATTTTTTTGTTGTTGTGTAGCAATAGAGTAAACAGCCTTCAGCAAGTTGATTAAAGTAACTTAGTATAGACTGCATTTTTTCCTCATAACCTTAAGGTGAAAATTGGTTGAAATTTGTTTAGTTGGGCAGCAAGGTAGGTAGCTAGAAACATTCAGGTTTAACTTTTTTAAATATATAAGTTTGAAATGGAATTGCACAATTAGGTCTATATCTTTATTTCTTTTACAAAATAATATAGTTATCTTACTAAGGAAAACTTTTCTAGAACAATTTACTCAACAAAATGTTGTGTAAAGTAAAATTGTGTGTTGAAAATCCAGATACAAATTGTTACAAGTAATTGATGTACATTAAAGTGTACATGTATTACAAATATTTTAACTGTTGTTGAAAATGGTTCTTTATTTCCCAGGTTAAACTTCATGGTGAGAAGTTCGTTTCACTGCAAGACGCTGACTACCAAAGTTTTACAGAAGTCAGTAACCACCTTGAGAATGCCATGACTTTTATAAATCGGAAATCTGCAGAATTCAGGCAGCAAGCTACTGGAAAATCACATGTTTCCTATGGTAAGGAAGCGTTACACTTTATTAATTAACCAACTCTATGAGTAGAAATATGTAATTAGCTGCTCTTTTCAAATAATCCTCTTTGATTTTAATTGCAGCTGAGAATAATTGTTTCAACGAAACTGAAACCTCAGGATCAATGTCTTTTGATATTTTGTCACATTCTCCTTCCCGGCCTGGTGTTGTTCAAAGTCAACTACTGTACACATCACCAACAGAAAGTTAGTATCCTAAAATGTGTATCTGTGTGTGATTGTGTGTACAAACTAGTTAGCAAAATTATAAGTGGCCAAAGAATGTTTTTAAAAATTGCTATTAATATTAGTTTATTATTTGAAAAAAGGGTGAAAAAGTATTGAGATACTTCATTAACATTAAATATATTTTCTCATCTTTTAATGACTTGTATTTACTTCCTGTGGGATGGCCTGGTAGAGTGCTAGACTGCTAACCCAAAAGTCTCAAGTTCAAATCTGGGTTCAAGTCATTAGAACGTCCCTGAGTCCATCCAGCTCTGATAGGCACCTAACTGACATTAGGGAAAGTAAAGCCAGCTGGTCATAGTGCTGACCACAATATCTCTTCATATGCCAAGTTCACATAAACAGGCGAACTCTACTTCCCCCGTCAAGTTCAAAAAGAGAACTTTTATTTATATCCTATAAGATGATGTATTTTTTTTCTTTATGATAAAGTGTTTTGTAATGGATATAAATTAAAACTCCTTTTTAATATCCATTTTTATTTTCAATAGTCCAAGAACAAAATCAGATTCAGAATCTTCAGAAGCAGCTAGCTGCTAGCAGCTCAAAACTAGAATCTTTGTCGTCTACCTTAGTTAAAGTCATCGCAGATCTGAACAGTATTAAAAAACAAGGGGTTGGTGTGGAGGAGATGAAGAGTCAACTGAAGGATATAACCAGCCGAGGCCTGCTCACTCTACAACAAGAGGAAAGTTTTGTCGAGATGAAAAAATCAATCACGGCTCTCACTGCTGATTTCTCAGATACAGCTAAAAGCTGCGAGTCTGTGAATAAAAATCTGTCAACTTACAAGAACGACAACACGCAAACATTTATGAAGTTTGAAAAACGGGTTGGTGATTTAGAAAATAAGGCAACAAAATCAGAGAACAGGACGTCTGATTTTGATAATAGGATAAAGGACATTGAAGACGGGCATAACAAAATGGAAAATAAACTGAATTTTCTGGAGAATAGAATAAGTGAAACAGATAATAAACTTGGCAAGTTGGAAGAAAAAACAGCTGTAGTTATTGATGAGAAAGAAAAAGAAATTGGTGCTATGAAAACATTAATAGTAAGCATAGAGAAACATATCCAGTCAATGAAAGAGGATATTAATAACAGAAGGGATAACGACATAGCCAGGTTTACTGAGTTTGAGATCAAACTTAGAAATTCAGACAAAGATGGATCAGGAAAAGATATCAAACAAAGCTTGAAAAAGGTTGAGGAAAGCCTTAAAATAATGAAGGACGAGAAGAAGAAGAATGCAGATGTTATTGGGACACAAATAGTTGAAATTAGCCGTACTGTAAGTTTCAAGTTTAAACATAATTGTACCTGTTATTGTATATCAATATATCTGGATAAATTTTCTTTCTTCTTCTTTGATCATAATAGTAATGTTGGAAAGGATTTCCTCTATCACAATGAAGAATTACATGTCAAGTAGTTACGGATAACATAGGCTGTTGACTTCTGATTATTTAATGTGCTCATATTGATGCTTGAAAGTGTTTTGAAAATTAACTTAGGAGTGTTTTAATTATCTTTTAAAAGTTGCAGTAATATGCCAGTTTATTAAATTCAAATTATGTCAGAAAATCATATTGTGAGTTCAGTGAAATTACTATACTGTTTTTACTATTAAAATTAGCAAAAATGCTTTCAGACTGACTGATATTCTTAAGTTAGCCATAACTGCTAAGTTACTTTAACTGTTGTGGGACAGCTTGGCCTATCAGTAGAGTGCTAGAATGCTAAACAGAAAGTTTTGAGTTCAAATCTGGGTTCAAGTCAGTAGAACCGTCCTGAGTTGTCGTCTCTCTCCCCCTCCCCCCCCCCCCCCAGCTCTGATTGGTACCTAACTCACAATAGAGAAAGTATAGGCGCTTGGGCATACTGTTGACCACACTTCTCTTCATATGTTGAGGTCACAGTGAACTTCATTTTCCCCATGAACTGTGAGGTTCAAAAAGGGAACTTTACTTACTTTAACCATCATAAAGGGTTACACGTGATCTTAAACTTTAAAGATCTCTGCTTAAGCATGTACTTAAATCCTAATAATGTCACTGAACTATCACCACTGGCTACCCAGCACCACATAAGTATATAGCCAGACAATTTGCCTGTGCCTTTAGAAAGAATCATTGTACTAATAGATCTCAAATGGTTTTTTTTAAATATTCTTTGTCATGCTAGAATGTTCTGCAGATTAAGTTTACTTTGAATATTTGCTAAATTCTAATTCTTTCTTTAAATTCAACAGCTTGATCTAATCAAAGGGCAACAAAGTAGTTTGGAAAAACGGCTTAAAGCTGTAGGTAAGTCGACTGCTTTTGTAACCAGGAGGTGTGTGTAAGAATGCTGATTTCTATCATTACTATTGATCAGTTAATTTATTTAATTTAATTAATTAAATATTTGAACTGAAGCCTGAATTATTCCTCTCTTTATTTACTAAATAAGATAATTGTTTATTCATAAGCACAAAAGTGTCAAGTTGTTTTATTTTGTTTAATGTTTCATAATAGCATTTCATTAGATACTTAGAGGAATAAGTTTTTGTAAATAATAATAACAGAGATCAACTATAAGGAAAGTATTTTTATTAATGTTATGACTGATCCATCTTCTTGTTATGGATTCAATAATTGTAGCTGATTGTAAAATCTCTTTTGAAGTTCTTTGCTGTAAAATAAAATGTATATCATCAAATTTTGATTTATCTATTTCATCTTTTTAATCTAAAGAGGAAGCAAGAAATAAGTTGCCGCTAGCGCAACAATTGCCCTTACTTAAAGTAGGAGCAAGGGTTCGCAGAGGACCAAACTGGACTCATGGGCAGGCAGTAAGCTTTTTTTTATTGTATAATTATATCCATTATGTACCAATCCCCAAAGAGATTCATCAAGATACTCGGTGGTGAGGGGGTAGGCAGACTTGTAACAAAGAGTAGAGTGTGAACTAAAGAATTTAGATCTAATATGTTTAGTTTTGATTAGTTCATGGTATCGTTATTAATTAGACATTTTCTTCTACTAAATATTATAACTTTTTTAGCAGGTTTAAATATTGTTGAGAAGGTTCCTGAATTAATTTCTAATTAACTACTGCTTAAAAATTATATTTATTTGACTTAATAGAATAGTATTAGTAGATAAATTTAAAATAACCATACTTTAAAATGAGTTTGTTTTAAGTAATTGATTATTTCTACCTAAAGCCATTTTACGTTAGATAATAAATAAGAAAACATTTCTTTATATCTAGACTAGCAGCAAAGCATTTGGAGCAATGGTATAAACAGAAGAAGAAAAAACACAAATCTTAAAAATCATTATTATATTGTTTCCATTTGTAGTCTTGTTATTGTGTTTGGTATTTCCTTGTTTGTTCTTTTTTACAAGTTACAAACAAACTTAGCTAATTATTATACAGGATAAGCAATCACAATTTATAGTGCTGTTCTGCTAATCTGTTTACATTTCCCCTACAGGATGGGTTAGGTCTTGGAGTGATTGTTTGAGAACTTCTGTAAGCAATCACAATTTATAGTGCTGTTCTGCTAATCTGCTTACATTTTCCCTACAGGATGGGTTAGGTCTTGGAGTGATTGTTTGAGAACTTCTGTAAGCAATCACAATTTATAGTGCTGTTCTGCTAATCTGCTTACATTTTCCCTACAGGATGGGTTAGGTCTTGGAGTGATTGTTTGAGAACTTCTGTAAGCAATCACAATTTATAGTGCTGTTCTGCTAATCTGCTTACATTTTCCCTACAGGATGGGTTAGGTCTTGGAGTGATTGTCAGAGAACTTCCGTATGACATGGTTGAAGTTCGCTGGGACTCTGGCACCATGGGCAGCTACAGGATTGGTGGACTTCCAGTGGTTTATGAAATCGAGCTTGCATAGTTTGCATTTACCTAGTGTGGTTTGTTATAGAACATTAGCATGTTCATTCCATTTTCAAAGTAATTTCACATAGAATTTAATTTTTATACATTTTCCTGCATTAAGTGTTATTCTAAATTCCAATATAATTTTAGTTTAGAGTCCAAAAAATAATTTAATATTTTTGTGAACCCTTATATATGAGTTAATGTAAAGGTTGTTGTAAAATTTGAAAATTTCAGCGGGTATTGATTTATTGGTGCTTCACACATTCTGAATGTTTGCATTCCAACACAGCCTTTTCTGCCCTGGTGAAAAAAAAATCAGGAAGCTTTAAGCAAACTTGACATGTAGTGTCAGTGTAATGGTTTACAACCTTTGTATTTGTAGCCAGATGCTGCTCTTTACACAAATAAATGTATCTCTGTAGATAGCAGATTTTTTTAATTGGGAAGGAATAGATCAAATGTATGTATTGTTTTTTAATGTAGTTTCTTGATTTAAATTTATTATTAATAAAATGTTTCAGTGCATATCCAAAAATGTTAAAACAAGAAATAATTTTTATTTTGCTCTAAAGATATTCTGGTTTGACAGGCTATCTTTAATTTTAATTATTTTTTTCAAATTTTAAATTAGAATCCCACTTGTGAATTATCTTAATTGCTTAGTACTAATTTAAATGTGAAATGGTATTAGTATTATTTTGCAATGTGTATTTTTTTACCAGTAACAAGGCGATGTTAAAAAACATTAAAATGAAAAGACGTTATCTTTGTGTATTGCGCTTCAGAATGTAAGACAAATCATTACGGAACTATTCTTTTAAATTAACTGATAAGCAAAGCATGACAGACCTTTTGACCTGGGCTAATCATGTTAAGGGTTTTTCTAATTGTGTTATCTCTAATGACCTCAGAACTGATTAGACTGCTAGTATCTATTAAATACATTTTTTTTGGACAATTTTGTCACAGTAATATTCTCCAACTTCTCAACTGTTTGTTGATTTTTTTTTTACTATTGATTTTTAAAAAAATTAAACCTTTTAAAATGTCAACGAATGTTCCTTGTATGAAAATCATTGTATTACTTCATTAGCTGGAGCATATCTTTAAAGCAGTGCAAGATGTTTACTGACAAGAAAGATAATACAATGAATCGATTAAACAATATAACCACTTTTGTTAATACAAAAAATTGTTTTAGAAAAAAATAAATATAAAAATGTTTTAATTTTTAAATTTCTGGCTTTATATTTCTATGTCAATTGCATAGATAATTATACCTAAATCCTTCACATATCTGTTGTTACCTTCTACCTTGGTCGTGAAATAGTTATTCAAAAGTTAGCTTTCTAGTATTATGCATAGTTTCAATGATTGTGATGTAAGCTGCTTTGTATAAAGAACAAATAGATAGTTGTATATAAAATAAATATTTGTAAATTGTATTTTAAAAGCCAGCTCCCCATTTTTATGTCTAATTTTAAAGAGTTTACACTAAGAAATTTTATTTATATCAAATGTATAATTAATAAGTACAGATCACATTTCACACTGAAAAATTTTACTTATATAAAATAATATACACAGATCATATTTTACACAGAGAAATTTTACTCAAATAAAATGTACAATAAATAGGCACATATCATAGTTTACAGCACAGAAATTTTTACCATTATGAGATTTAATAATTTTTTCAAATAATTTTCACTTTCTCTGTAGCAAAATTATATTTCATAAATATTTATTTTTGTTTATAAGGGACTAGACTTTATCCCTTTTTTGCATGCTTTAATTGAATCCTCTTGTCTACTTGTTCCCAAGCTTATTTAATCCCCTAAATCATACATGTCATTACTATAATTACTTGTCATAGTATCAGATGTTCATCTTTTATGAAGTATGTGAATTGAACTTGTAGTCAAAAACATTGTCATTTTATATTTTTTTAAATGATTCAATTTTGATTATTACCAAGAAGTAATGTTATTTTTATACACAATAATTTATGTTTATTCAATTTTTGTTCAGCACTTTGACATTTGATGAATACAAAATGAGTAAAACCTGAAAAAATTTTTTTTTTTATTTTTTGTATCCTAGGAAAAATTTATAAGACCCTTTGATTGCTGTAGGCCTATACTTTAAAAGTTCTACTGGAGCAGTGGTTCTTAATGGATGTACCGAATCTCACTAGTTTCATATGCCAAACCCTTCATAAAAGTTCTATAATTCCCACTGACAAAACGTGATAATCATGAGTCAAGTGAGTGTATTGACCTCTACCTATTCCCTGGGGTTCGATCAAACCCAGGTTAAGAACCACTGGACTTGCACCTTGTTTCAGTCAGTTGCAATTCTTTTTTTTTTTCCATTTCCTTTAGAAGTATATATTTTTTTCTCTTTTGTTGTGTGTGGGGGGGGGGGGGGGGTTACTGGAGGGTGACTGTGCTCCAATAGGGTGGGAGCAGTGCCCCTCCACAACATGAGAGATGCCTGGAAACTCTAATCAATCCCTCCTAGCAGCTTGACTTGATTGCTGGGAAAATGGACGCTACCAAAAAAAAGGGTAGGTATGTTACGGGAGAGGATCTATTATAAATGGGAAATTTAAACGTGTGGGATGGCAGGACCTAGTGTTAGAGCATTAGACTTTTAACCCGAAAGTCATACGTTAGAATCTGGGTTCAAGTCACTTGACAGTCCCTGAGTCCAACCAGTTCTGATGGATATCTAACTCATGTTAAGAAAGTAAAGGAGGCGGGGCATAGTGCTTGCCGAGGTCAAGAAACATAAAAACTAATTCATCTGCCCAGTGGATTGCTAGGTCTAAAAAGGAATCCTCACCACATTTTTACTAAACATATAAGAAAGAAATATACTTAACCAGGCTACTACCCTACGTCCAACCCACCCAGTGTTTCTTCCAGACTTTGTTCTCCGAAGGGGGGATGGGGGGCACTTGAAATTTTCGGGGGGGGGGGGGCGGACACTGTTAAAAGTATATATTTTCTATATAATTTTCATTTCGTTCTAGGGGGGTGGTAGACTTTCTTCAGAGATGTCTGGAAGAAACTCTGAACCCTCCCCCCCCCCCCCCCCCACTTCACCCCGGAGGAAAGTGAAAAAATATTACATTTAAATAGGAAATAGGCTTTATATTTTTCTGAAAGCATGGTCGTCTGTCATCCACAAATCTAAAAGTAGGCTACCATTTAAATTTGTTCAGTAAAAACCAGATGATTACTGCAATCAGCATCGGTAGACTGCCTGTGGAGACAGTGTGGTAGGGAGGGAGTACAATCAATGTGAAACTTCAAAAATATAGAGTTTGGATCTCCACGCAGATGGGGCTTGTATATCTGAAGTCGGCAACCTATCTATGAAAAAAAAAAAGTCCCGAATTCGTACCACTGGGTAGACGAACTACCTCTACTGCCCCCCCCCCCCCCCAAACAAATTAGAATTTAGAATGTAAATATAAAATATACACCATACTTTTTCTTTGCCACCCCCGGAAAATTCAGTCCATTCACCCCCCCCCCTTCCCCAGAGAGAAAAATCTAAGAGAAACACTAATCCTAGTTACAGGTCGTCCATAAATGACGTCACACTCATTAGGGGGTTAGGGGCGGTCGCGCTAGGCCCCGCGCTTCAGCACTGTCGTTGTTATCTGAATTAGTTTGTAAACTTAAAAAAAAAATGTTGCTGAATTCAATTGGGAAAAACTAAATGGTCGAATGCCGACGTTGTTGATTGTTATAACTGAGGCCACGGTTGATGTTAGTGAGTTATCACCCACCTAAACTGGGAAAGGCCGTAATTCGATACAAAAACAGTGTCACACACCTCCCCTTTGTGTAGGGTACGGTCGCCTCGCATTTGACCTGAGCTGACTGGAGATTGTTGGATGCGAATTAGCCCCCGACCAGAAATGGGATGTAAATTTGGGAAACACGTAAAGAGATACCCTATTGTGTGCGGACCGACGAAGACGTCCTTTCAGTGAGCACACGGGATGCCGGTAGTAGATGACAGTTAGTGACTTGATGATCGCTAGTCCTGACTTCGTTGTTGTAGTTTTCGTAAATGTACTTGTCTTGGTATAACAAAATTAACATTCAGTTGAGTGCAGAGGGGTGGGAGGAGGGCGACGAGAGGGGGGGCGGGGGGGGGGGGGGCCCTTAGGATCTATATCGGGGGGGGGGGGCATTAAACAGAGTGATTTATTATTATTTTTTTGGAAGAAAGTTAAAACTGTTGTTATGTTGTGTTATCTTAAGGATTCATCCGTTCCAAGACAGAATGATCAATTTACCGAATTCATCCAAATTGTTTATTCAATCGTCTTCCAGTGGTGCTGACATGATATAGTCAGCGAATGGTCCTCGTCGCACAACTTTTATGGAGGAAGGGTAATCTTTGAAGTCAATGAAGGGTAGTGTTTAGATAGTCATTGATATTCCCCCAATAAACGCGTTCTTTCAATTTATATCTGATACTTTGGTGAACTTTAAAACACGACATTTGTAGAGTGATTAAGCACATTTTTTGAATTGTAGGGAAATTCTTTACAATAGTTAAGACACTAATGATTTTGGTTTTAAAATATTGTATGGATTCTAAACAAATTTTGAAGTCTATACTGTTTTGATACATTAGGCCGAGGAAGGGTAATCTTTGAAGTCAATGAAGGGTAGTGTTTAGATAGTCATTGATATTCCCCCAATAAACGCGTTCTTTCAATTTATATCTGATACTTTGGTGAACTTTAAAACACGACATTTGTAGAGTGATTAAGCACATTTTTTGAATTGTAGGGAAATTCTTTACAATAGTTAAGACACTAATGATTTTGGTTTTAAAATATTGTATGGATTCTAAACAAATTTTGAAGTCTATACTGTTTTGATACATTAGGCCGAGTTCGCTGTATTGTCAAGTTGTCTTGATTTCTCACACGTCTAAAGTACCGACTTTCACTGCAGCCGAGCATGCCATAGCGAAACTCATAAATAAGGTGTAGCCAGTGTTTCTTCCAGACTTTTCTCCGGGGAGGGGGGGCACTTGAAATTTTCGGGTGGAGGGGGGGCGGTAGACTTTCTTCGGGGGGGGGGGGGGCGGGGCGGAAACGGTTAAAAGTCTATATTTTCTATATAAATTATATAAATTTCATTTCGTTCGGGGGGGGGGGGGGGGCGGTAGAATTTTTTTCGTTGGAAGAAACTCTGGGTGTAGCTGGCTGTCACTTCCTAATTATAGACACGAACTTTCTCTTGTGATATCGCGATCATGGCCGGTAATGTAATACGTGGACGCTCTATAAACACAAACCTTCTTTTGAATGACTCCAGTCAGAGATCAATTAACGAAGTACTTGAGCTTGGTGACCTTTTTTTAAGGGTATGGCATTCCATAGCCATAGATTTAAATGCACAGTTATCCTTTACCTCCCCCCACCAACTGCCACCCACCCCAAAGCTCCAGTCTATACCTATTAGTATTAGTCTATTACCTAGGGCTAATTACTGGGCCTATTGTATTATAATAGGGCCTAAAATTAACAATTCTACTTTCATTGTTATTAACCTAATCATTTTGATCTAGTAAACAATTAGGCCTAGATTTAAATATCATATATCAAGCGACAGTCAAATTTTAAGACGGTAAAATAATTTTAGGACGATAAAATAATTTTTTATAAGGAGCATGTGCGCGACAAGCGTAAGTCGTGGATCATTGTTTGTATTGGTTGTTAGGAGGGCCAAAGTATACAACATGGCGGCCACTGAGTACGCAACGCTAAATGTTACATTAACTTACGGTACACAAACTGTAACTGTAAATTAAATAAACTGTTAGTTTATGATAATACTAATACTAATACCGTACATATGATGATAATTAAGAAAAAAATTGCAATTTTGATCTAGATCTAGGTAACATATCAAGAAACGAACTTTTAAGATTCGGCAATCTAGAAATGTCTGAAATGACCCGTTCTTAAATCTAATTTTAAATTTAAATAATAAATATTCAATAGTCTTCCCCCCCCCCCCCCCCCCCAGTAGGCCTAATTTTTAAAAATTGTGAAAAAATAATTTTATTTAAAAATGTTAGTAGGGCCTAATTTATTTACTACGAGCCGACCCGCGGCGTATCATACACTGCTATTTAGGCCTAGTTGTTTTATTTTCTATTTCTCAGGAATTCATAATTAGTTAATTTGACAGTACCAATGCTGCCACTGAATAATCGGAATATATTTGCTTTAAAACACTCTCAGTAGCTTGTTAAGGACGATAAACCCCCCCCCTCCTTTCCCCTACCACCCCCCCCCCCCCCACCGTGAAAGCAGCCTCCTCTTAGTTACCTCCCCTAAATTTAAAATCGTTTCAAACTAAATTATCTGCCCCTAATAGCCGTCACTAAACCCGGCTCTACGATTGTAAACATTGAGCATGAACCACAGCTCACCAGACCATGTAGGGGTGGGGGTGGTAGGGAGCGCGCTTACAGCTTGGTGTTTTCTAATGTCTCCAAGAAGAGAATTATATATATAGATTTAGTTAAATGACGAATAAATCTAGATCTAGATTTAGATGATGATAGATCAGATCTAGATCTAGTGAAATCTAGTTTAGAATCTAGAATGGAAACCACCAAGTTGACGAGAATCCTTCCATCAAATTGTTGATAATTATAAAATTACGTGCTTAAGCGTCGCTATTTTATAATTTAGTTGTTTTATTTTCTACTTTCAGTAATTCATAATTTGTGAATTCGACACTACCAATGCTGAAAATATTTTGCTTTAAAACACTATCGGTAGCTTGTGAAGGACGATTATCCTCACCCTCCCTTGCCTCCCCCTGTGAGAAAGCAGCTGTCAGTGATGACAATTTACAGACAACAATGAAAAGTTTAAGCAGAACTTGTTACCTCCCTTTCGTTTCAAATAATTTAAAACTAAAATATCTGCCCCTAATAGCGGTCACTAATTTGACCTGGCTATTTGATTGTAATTGTAAGCAGTCGGCATAAACCACAGCTCACCAGACTGGTGGGGGTGTTGGTGATAGAAATATGGTCTGTTGTGTATGCCTGGAGAGCGAGGGAGGGGCGGGTTGGCGTGCGTCCGTGGTGGTGGTGTCCTGCATGGTTCACAAAACAGAATTATGTATATAGATAGGCCTAACAACCTAGACATTGATAGTCTGTACAGGAACTCAGTGATTTATGCCAAATATAAATAAATATTTGCCTAATTCTAATAAGTTTAATAACTTACTAATAAGCTAATATTAATAATGTGAATAATACTAGGCTATAGACCTAATAATAATTAAAAATTGTATTAATAATAAAAAATGTCACACTTTTTAAAAAAATTTTACCTCCCAATCCTCACATTATCACCAAAAAGAAGCCAACTCTTAAAATGAAAATGATGTCACACCTCAGCCTGCAACGCCACTCATTATTTCAGTTTTTTGTTTTTTAAAACATCAGTTTCTTTCTAAAATATTTACTGAGCTCAGTCAACATTGAGTATAAATTGTTAGTACAATTTAAAAAAACAATCTTTACAAATGTGAAGCAATGGCTAAAATTCAGTTTCTAACATTACTTTTTACAATGCAAACAAATGTCATTAGTAATAAAACAGATAACATTTTCGGAGCCCACCACGCAGAGGCGTAACAACCCCTCCCAGCACCCGTGGACAAACTTTCAATCTGTTGCTCCCCCTTCTTCCCCCACCCCCCCTATATTTTTTATATTTATAATTCAAAACTGCAGCTAAAATGAGCTTTTAAGAAATTTGGTCACTCGCATTTATGAATTTGGTGTATTGAAGACAAATAACATTTAGCTTCAAATATATAAGGCTTACTATTAATATTGTTGTTTTTACTAAGATTTTTTATTCACTATGCCGAAAAGATGAATTCTTATTAAATTTTATGTAACTCTATTGCCTGGTAAATTGTAAATCGATTGGAAACATTTAATTTTCATACTATTATAATTAGGGCAAAACAAGATACCAATTCATCTAGATGTCTCATCCCAAGATGATGGATCAAAATGTTTAACAGTCGGGCATCTTATAGACCAAGTATACAAGGAGACAAATGTAGAACCAGCCTGTCAAAAGTTGATTCATCGAGGTTGTAATGGTGACATTAGATTTTGATTGAACAATTAATAACCAAATATAATTATAGCATAAAATATATCTTTAGTACAAACATGCTAATACTATTTATTTCCCAACTATGGGAATAAGGCTAACAATGACTTAACTTTGAAGCTAGTTGCATCTAGTTTATAGTGTATACTTTAATTTATGTTAAATAATTATAGTTGGTTAAAAATAATTTTTAAAAAAAATTCAATTATTCTAAACCCAGGGCGAGCCTTAAACAAAGCTGATGACAGCAACTCTAACAACACAAAACTCTCCACCCTAGGTATACGAAATGGGGACAGAATTATGCTGCTCAGTAGAAAGGTAGGATTATTTTTTTAATTTTTGTCAACGATCAGTATGTACAGTGTACAGCCACAGTTTATCACAGACGCAGAGCAACCCCATCCCCCCCTAAGAAAGTCTACCGCCCCCTGAATTAATATAGAAAACATACTTTTAGCAGTGTGTTGTCATCCATTCCCCCCCCCCCCCCCCTCGGAGAAAGATAAAAAGTCTGGAAGAAACACTGTGTACAGCTCGCTCCAAAAATAAACTGTAAACATAGTCTTTTTTTAATTTTATTTTTTAATGGTTGATATTGCTGTTTAGGTATAGTTTATGTTTTCCTGTGGTGATACAGGGATTATGTAGACATGATAACGTTTAATCATCTTTGCTTTCCCTGACTAATATCATTTACCCAGGGGACTGTGGGATGTCCAGGCTTGAGCCAGATACTTACACATGTGTTCTGGCCTCTCATAGTCCTCTATACTATCTTCTCTTAATCCTCATCACTCCAGATTTCCTCTATGCTATCTTCTCTTAATCCTCATCACTCCAGATTTCCTCTATACTATTTTCTCTTAATCCTCATCACTCCAGATTTCCTCTATGCTATCTTCTCTTAATCCTCATCACTCCAGATTTCCTCTATGCTATCTTCTCTTAATCCTCATCATTCCAGATTTCCTCTATGCTATCCATATGTGTAATACCTTGCTTTTTGTAATGATAATAGTACTAATAGGATTCATCACTCTCTGACTGCTTATGCAAGAATAATTCTTGTTATCACTGATACTTAAAACAGGTGAATGATGCTTCAACACTAGCCGTTAGCAATGGCTATGCTCAGGTAAAAACCTACATCATTTTCAATTTAATAATTTTTATATTCATTTTAATACAATTTATTATTCTTGTTGAAATCCAATGTTAACTTAAATGTACATCATTTCATGATTTAATCACTGTTTTAGATATACATTTATAAAAACATCTTATAAAAAATAATTGTTAAATTTTCATCTCTTGTGTAAAGGTAAATCACTTTCTAAAGTGACAAAACCAAATCTTTAAATTTTAAATTTGTTTTATGAATTTTTGGAACCCTGTGACATTTTACCATTCTATTATTCTAATCTCCTACGATTTAGCATGTGGCTGAAGGGAAAAGTCGACTTGAAGATCTCCAGTCACAGGTGGACAGAGTTTGTTTACAGTGTGATGAAAATATTAGACGAGTTCAGGACACTAAGGTAAACTTAGTCTGTGTATAGTCCGGTGTTTAAGTTATTTCAGCTTGCTATATACTGTTCACTTTTCAACTATTTTTTTTTTTTTTTAGTTTTAGTAACCAAAGCTGTTACTGTAATTATGAAGGCTAGCCCTGGTCTATCTGTAACCGCATTTGTTACTGTACAGTAATCATGAAGGTTAACTCTAATCTACCTGTAACCCCATTTGTTATGTATGATAATTATGAAGACTAACCTTAATCTATCTGTAACCACATTTCTTACTGTAGTCATGAAAGCCAACCCTAGTCTATCTTGTATCTGTAATCATGATGGTAACACTGATTTATCTGTAACCAGGTTAGGATTCTTTCTGTAATCACAAAGGCCAACCCTAGTCTATCTGTAATTAGGTTTTTGTAATCATATAGGCTAACCATAATCTTTCTGTAATCAGATCTGTTTCTGTAATCATGAAGACTAATTTTAGTCTACTTTAAAACACCAATTGCACTGAAATTGATGATATTGATGAAACTTTAGGTTCATGTTCCGTTAGTAGAGGAAAGGTACTAAAAGATTTGTTCCTAAGTATACCAGTTTTCTGTGTTGTGATAAAACAATATTGTTAATGTTATAAACAACTGATGTACATTCTGTATTCACTGAATGGATACTGGTAGTGATAGTCTATCAACACATGTAATGTAATTGTAAGTTTTAACCACATTTATGGAAAGGTTTGTAAATTCAGTAAAATACAGATTACATAAAGTTTCTCTTTCAGATCTAGTGATCCATAGAACAACTGAAGTAGTGTTTATAAGTTTCTTGATCTCAACATGTGAATGGGTAGTGTGGTCAGCAAAATGCCCAGCCACCTATACTTTAAATATAGGGAGTCAGATACTTATCGACAGAGGGACATTCTGCAGTCTAATATTCATACCGAGACTTGAACTCAGGACTTTCTGGTTAGCAGATGAGCACTCTACCATCCCACCATGCTGTGAAATATAAGCACAGATAAAAAATAAGTCATATCTCACATGTTGTTTTCTTATTTACAGGAACTGCAGGGTCTGAAGACCAGTAAACTTTCATTTATATCGCTTCATGAAGACTCCATGAAGTTACTTGAGAAGATTGATGCCACCACTTCCAATGATAATGAAGAGTTTAGGAAACAAAGGAAAATGATGGTTAACACTATTCAGGTATACAAATATTTAGATTTTTAAGAGTTGGGATGGTAAAATATTTTGTTTACTATATATATTTGTGTGTTGTTAATTATTGAAGCAAAAGTTGAATCTCATGTAAAAGTAAGGTCATGTGGTACTGTTTAAAGAAATCTAAATGCAGCTCCTGATGGTTTTGGATAAAGTTGGGTACCGCTTTTTTTTTTTGCTGTAGTAGTGATTGATGATTAGTAGGCCAAATAAACACTCTAGGGCAGGGGTCGGCAACCTTTTGAAGAGGAAGAGCCAAAAGTTACAATTTTCACAATTTTCCTTGGTTTTAAAGAGCCACTAACATTTTTTTTATTTTAACTATTTTATTTTTTTATTAAGATTATTAGTATTTGTTCAAAGAGCTGAAGAGCCGCATCTTGATATCAAAAGAGCCGCATGCGGCTCGCGAGCCGCAGGTTGCCGACCCCTGCTCTAGGGTGCTGGTTGATAAATAGTCACATACCTGGCAGTAAGTTGTTGCTTAATAAAGGGTGATGCTGCATATTTTATAGCCAACTTTAAAAAGAAATGTTAAAACAAAGTTTAAGCAGCTTTTTTTTAAAGCTATTATAACTTGTAATAATATTATGAGTATTTAGCGTTGACATGGATTTTTGCTCAAATTTGTAGCATTAAATAAAAAGTATTTAGTCACATTTTCTGCAAAATCAGCCTAGCTCACTGTTACTGATTATTTATTGCTTTATTTATTGGCAGTTAAAAAAGAAACTACTTAATAAATATGTTACATAATCAGACACTGACACTTTTCAAATAAACCGGGAGTGATTTCCCCTAAACTTTCTCGAATATTCTAATGGCAACTCGGAATATAGACATGATTTTTGTTTACTTTAACTTTTAAAAATAGAATAAAAACTAGTAGAAAAATGAATTGCGCTCCAAGCGAATGCCAAAACAAAATGTGCATAAAGGTGCACAATATTATTAGTATTTTATAAATTTACATGCGTTTTTTGAGAAATCGGAAATTGCGTAAATTAGTACTTACGGTCAACGGAAATTACTCAAAATTTGATAGAAAGTAGAGAATTAGATCTTTTACTTACATGTGAAATTTCATTTATCTATCTGAAATATTACTTAAGTTATAGGCTTTTGAAAAATTCAAAGTAGAAAAAGTACCATTTCCGGTTATTGGAAATTGCTCAAAAGTTGATACGTATCTACGATTTTGATAAAATACCTATATTTGAAATTTCATCAACCTAGCTGTAACGGTACTCAAGTTATCGTGTTTACACACAGACAGACACACACACACACAGACATATGGACAAGATTGCAAAATTATGTTTTTCCGTATCAGTGAGGTGTAAAATGTCATATCGATTTTTTTTTTTTTGCACAATTACAAGACTTTCTCTATACTTCATATATACGAGAAAGTAAAAAGTGTTGATGTCATGCTAGCAGAGTGACCTGTCCAGAAATTATATCTCTACTGAGCGTAGTGTATAATGCATAGCATTTAGATGTAGGGTTTTTATTTATGAAGGTTCACTTGATTGAAAAGGGTTTATTTTTAATAGTATGCTAAATTTTTGTGTCCATTAACCTAAGAAACATGTTTGTTGTAATTTTGCAACAATATTTTAGAACAATATATTATTATTTAAATTACTATTTTGTTTCGTTTTCAACTTTGTTTGGTTCTGATAGTGTTTTGTTTCATAAAATTTATACCGGAACTCTTTTTAAAAACAAGATTTCTCCTTCAAATTGAACATGGTTGTGTGTGGTTTACAGATTTCTGCTTTCAATTCGTAAGTATAAACTAAGATAAAAAATTTGGTTAAAATTATACTAGAATGAATTTTTAGTGAATACTTTCATGTCTTGTTTCTCAATTAGTAAAAAATATGTTTTGTATATAATTACTGCTGGAAGATGCATTATTTTCACCTAATAATATTCACTAAAATATATTTCTTCAGATCAGTCTAATTCCAAAGAAGAGGAAACTCCCCAAGGACCATCTCAAGTACCAAATGGAAATCTTCTTTGGCTGCAACAATAGGGTGAACAAGTACCAACCACAAAAGGGCCAGTATTCATTGGTCTTAAGTGAGAATCCAACACCCCAAGACAGCCATTGGATTACTTCACAGATGAACTGTTAGAGACCTTTGTTTACCAATCAAACCTCTAATGCTGCCAACAGGATATCAATAATCCACTATCACTTGATAAGGATGAACAAAAACAGTTCATTGGAATTGTTTTTTATTTGAATGTAGTGAAAATTCCAAGACACTGAATGTACTGGTACCCTGCCACCAAGTGTATTGCACTAGAGTGACAAAATTAATGACCATTAACAGATTTGAAAAAATAAGAAGAAAATACAATCATTTATAAACCCATGCTTCAGAAAGATCCTTCAAATACGCAGGCCTAAAACCATCAGAAATGATGTACTATGGCAACAGACAAATGAACTGCCAGTGGAAGTAGAGATCCTCCAGGGAAAATGGAAATGGATTGGCCACACACTCAGGAAGCCTGTATCCAGCATAACAAGACAGGCCAGGGCAGGAGGAGAAGAGACAGACCAAAAAAGACCTGGAGACGTGACCTGGAAGAAGACACCAAGAAGATTGGATACACCTGGGGACAGTTGGAGAGACTAGCCCAGGACAGAGACGCCTGGAAAGCTCTTGTCAGTGGCCTATGTCCCAGGAATGAAGACAGTCTAACCTAACCTAACAGATTTGAGCGATTCAAAAGTAATCTCTACCTGTCGAACAATCTTGACAGAACAGACGATAAGTTGGCCAAAATGAGGCTTCTAATTGGTGCCTTCAAACAGAGGCGTAGCGACCCCTCCCAGCGCCCGGGACAAACTTTCGATTTGCGCCCCCCCCCCCCTCGAACTTTTCATTTGCACCCCCATCAAACTTTCATTTTGGCGCCCCCCATAAGGTATGGCGCCTGGTGACATACGTCCCGCCCCGCCCCTCGCTACGCCTCTGCCTTCAAAGAGTCTATTGAACTTTGTGCCATCCGAGATGCTCAGCATTGAGGAACAAGTAGCGCCATTTAAAAGCAAAAGCAGCATAACAACTTTCAATCCCCAAAAGCCCTACAAATGGGGTAACAAAGTTTTTGTTGCCGCTGACAACCATGGAATTGTCCATGATTTTGAAATATATACTGGGAAAATTTCAAAATGTGATGGACAAGACAGGTGCTGCTGACAATATCGTGCTTACCTTACTACAAAACTATATTCATGATGTGTGGCACATAGTATACATTGACAATTGGTTTAATACATTGCAGTTGCCAATTGCTCTGTATAACTAAGGTATAGCCTGCTTAGGGACTGTCGGGGCTAATCGACTAAAAGGATGTACTTTTTCATTTGACAGGGAGCATTTAAAAAGTGAGAGAGGCTCTTCCATTTTTGATCGAGTTGAAATAAATGTCATTAATTGGCTAGATAGCAAGCCTGTTACCCTTCTCAGCTCATTTTGCTTCTATATTACCAACCTAAACTGTAACACACTTTGATAGGAAATTAAAACATGATATCAGTTCCCTTCGGCTGTAACCTTTTATAACTCTTTTATGGGTGGAGTTGAGTTTTTAGACTTATTAGTGGCTTTGTAAGGAAACCCAATCAGGTCAAAGAAGTGGTATCATAGATTATTGTTTCATTTTTTGGACTTCATTGTTGTTCAGTCTTGGCTTCTGTACAGAGAAGATCATAAAAATAGAATACATTCTTCAACAAAGCCTATATATCTTCCACTGCTACAGAACAAACTTGAAATTTCTAAATGTCTGAGAGGTTGTAAGCTTGTGAACAAAAGACGAGGCCGTCCACGCATGGAGGTGGATAATCTGCTGCAAGTAAAAAAGCAGAGATCCTCCAAGGCAATTGTTCTGCCTTCCTATTTGAGAAGAGGCAATTTTGGAAATTTTCCCTTCACTGACCGAGAAAAGGGGATGTTGCAAATTTCCGAATTGCACTGGCTATACCTCTACTATGTGTGAAAAATGTCATGTCTGACAAAATCTTCTGTTTTTGGAATATCATTTTCCATAAATTGGCTGTTTGTGCTTTATATTTTGTAAACAAAATTTTCAGTGAACATAATTTTACTATGGAAAAACTCAAATATAAAATTATGTTAATTTTCAATCATTTTTTTCTTTCCTCTTTACATGTTTTTACTTTAGTTTTTTAGTCATCAATAAACTTCCATGTGCATTCTGTGCATTTGTTACATTTCTCTATAATTTACCCCTTTAAATTGTTATTTTTCTTATTATGGAAAAAAATGTTTCTTGGTTGCACAATTTCAAAAACCAAAATTGTTAAGATTTTTTATAATTTATTAAAAAATTGTTTTTCCCATATTACAACTAAGTCCAGCTGGTGAAATATGAAGGCAAAATTTTTTTCTCAATCGTTATAAAAATTCATGCTATATTGTTAACTTTAAATTTTTATAAATTATTTTCTCAGTAAAGTTGTATTTATTTTAAATGTAATAATAATTGACTAGAGTTGTTCTTAAATTTTAACTTTTTTCTTTCTAAAAGGGTAAACTTGATATATGTGAGAAGTTGATAGCTGACATCACAAAGAAAATTCTTCACCTAGAACAGATGAATGCATCAGACAGATAAAACTGAACTGTTGTTTCTTTAATATTTTTTTCAATACTGGTGCTTATTTAATTATATTTAATTTTTGTGTGTAGGATTCATAAATATCAACATCAGCTAGTTAACATAAAGTACTGTATAAATTCCATAAAGTTTATAATTGCTACAGTTCTTTAATTAAATTTGTTTTTGTTACTGATCAGCATTTAAAAAAAATTGATTGTTATAAATATAATTGTTTTAAAATTATTTACTGTTACAACTCTGTTCATGTTTAAGCTTGCATTTTCCAAACATTTAAACATTTTACATGTTTGTGAAGTTTTTCTTATGCATCAGGGTCATCCCATTATTAAGTCAACATATATACTGGAATGTTCTACCTCCCCCTCCTAAAATAGTTGAACAAAGTTTCATTTTCCTTGTATGGAATAGGAAAGAGAAGTTTTAAATTAAAAGTATTATCTGTTGTACACAGCATTATAGTCATAGGGGCACACCCTGGAAATTTTCACCTTTTTTTCTGTTTTCATTCATAGTTCAGAACCTTTATTGGTTTAGATAAAACTTAAGTACTGACTGAGCTGTTTTTTTTTTTTTTTTCAAAAACACACAATTTTCCCTTAAATGCACACTTCCCCTCCTCCCCTTTCATGTGGATAAAGTAAGTGGATGATCCCTTTCAAGTTGACCAGGATCTTGAGTTGCTTGGTTTTTTTGCATTTAAAGGATGCCAAAATATGTAGGTTTTAGGTTTTTACTTCACACCTGTAGTTTCTTAGAGGTTGAAGTATTATTGTTTTTTTTGCCTTCATAGGAAGTAAACAATATCTGAACTGTTAGATCTAAGATCGTTTTTAGTTTGTCATGTGGATGAAGTTAGTGGATGACCCCTTTCAAAGTTGACCAGGATCTTAAGTTGCTTGATTACTTTTTTTTTGCATTTAAAAGATGCTAAAATATGTAGGTTTTAGTTTTTTACTTCACACCTGTAGTTTCTTAGTAGTTGAAGTATTATTGGTTTTTTTTTTCTTCATATGAAGTAAACTATATCTGAACTGTTAGATCTAAGATTGTTTTTACTTTGTATTATAAAAACAATGAATGTCGCTTTGGTACAGACAAAACAATTAGATTAATTAAAATAATGAAAGAAACTAAACTTTGTAAAATTTATTAGACTGTTACACTTCAAATCATTAGAACATTAAATTCCTAAATAAATTATGTCACAATTTACATTGTTGTTATGTCTATTCAAAAATTGGTGCTGGAAGTGGAATAATGAAATATTGTTTGCTAAATTTTATACCCTTCAATAAAAATTGTGTTTAAGAATACATCTTGTAATTTTGGTTGTGTTAACTATTCCATTTTAACATTCTCAAAAAAATCTTCAATCTCTATTATTAGAGAAATTTGTCATTGCTTCTATATTCTAAATATGGCTGCATTTTCCTTTAGATTGTAATATATTACAAGCAATTGTTCTAAAATATGGTAGCTAACTTAAATTTAATAAAACTTAAAAATTTCATTTTTATAATAAAAAAAAATTAAAAAAAAGAAAGTTTCACTTTTAGAACAGTATTCATAGAGTAAACGAAGTAGAGTTTATGTGTTTCTAAATTGTAGACCTTTGTATATGAAAGGATGGTGTGGCCAGCACTATGCACAGCCGTCTTTACTTTTCCCAACTTCATCAGAGCTGGGACGACCTACTGACTAAAGTCTGCACCAGTGTTTCTTCCAGACTTCTTTCTCCGGGCGGGGGGGGGGGGGGGGGCACTTGAAATTTTCGATGGGAGGGGGGGCGGACACTGTTAAAACTATATATTTTCTATATAATTTTCATTTCGTTCGGGGGGGGGGGGAACAGAGCGCCCCCCCCCCCCCCCGAAGAGATGCCTGGAAGAAACTCTGGTCTGGACCGAAATCCAAACTCGAGACTTCCAAGTTGTCAGTTAAGTTCTCTACCACGCTGTCCCAAAAAATTATATGCCAATGAGCCCTTATAAAGAAAATGTACCAACAATTCACAAGGTTTTTACATCTTTCTGCATAGCCTAAGGCAGTGAAAAGCTTTAGAAAATTTAGAACTCATTTTAACGTAAATGATAAAATTGACTGATGCCATCATTTGGTGCAGGATAGAACAGGCAAACACCAAGGCAGAAGTTAATCGGAAGGTGATGTTAAACAAAAGCTGCATTACCGTGACAGGTATCACCAGTACAATAAAAGTCACACAAATGGTGACCAACATTTTGATCACCTTCAGCTCTTTAACTTTATAGGAAATACCAATGGTACTAATAAACTGCTTTCGTTTTCTGGAGGAAAGTGATAGTTTTAGTATAGTCAGTGACGTACATAGGATAACAATGGTCAATGGGACCACGGACACTAATGTGAGTCTATACATGTCGAATACCAAACGAAGTGTTGTAGCACTAGCAATGCCATTCATAGAAATATCGTTGTTAGTCAGAATTTTATTCAGGTAATACGAAATATATTTGTTATCAAATGTATTGATAATAAAAACGTACATAGCCAGTATTACAATTATACCTTTCATTCGATAAGGTGTGTTAAGTTTGTGAAGATATAAAGGCAAAAACACAGCTAAAAGCCTTTCAGTTGATATCAATGCAATCAGATGATAGCTGAATGTTAATGATAACAATGTGATACCAGTGAAAAGTTCACAGATTTCAAACATTTTGTGATTTAACGAAACAATATAACAGCTTGATAAGTAAGTCCCACTGATGTGTTCAAGGAAGTTACTCAGTGTAAATAGCAAGTCTGAGGTAGAGAGCGAAAAAAGAAACATGTTGGTTGTCGTCTTCAGACCATGTCTGTAAACGGTTAAAATTGAGAGGAAGTTCCCGAATACTCCAAGAGCGGTGATTGTGTAGTAGAAGTTTAACGCGGCGTAGTACAATACCCTGCGTACAAGCTGATCATTCGAATCTGCACTGGAGTTTGACGCATCTTGTCGATTTTGAACTCGAATTCCTGTAGTGTCATCAACACCTACACTGCCAGAGTTTACTGTCCACATTAATTTTTTTTGTTGGGTTTATTTTCCTCTTACGGTAAAACAATTACTGAAAAGTAAAAGAAAACTAACTAAATAAAACAAATATAAAAACCTTTTTAATAACAGGCTTTTAAATTAACAGTGAATAAAAAATAGAACAAACTTGCTCTAGTTAAAAACAATTATTTTTTTTTAGAAACCAAGGTTTTTATTAAAGAAATCAAGTTAGTTTTTATTTCTAATTCTCTTTGCCTTTAAAAGCTTGTTTTATAAAGGTTTTCATATTTGTGTTATTTTCTTTTTTTTAATTCTTTCAAAATGAAGTGGAAACTACGACTAAAAATATTTGTGCTAAAAACCGACCAGTTATCTGCTCCAAATTTTTTCGTGGTCGACGATGAGGCAAAAAATCAATCAGCCGTGACAAACAGATCAGCGATCGATAGTAGTTAATCTCGTTATATGTTCTATTTATCATTGAAAATAGTAATTTTAAATTAAATTTAATGACAAACATAATGTCTAATTAGCTACAAATATATCATTGCATTGTCATCGAAGAGGAAGTGGTTAATGTTTAGATACAAGATTTACCATAACCCACAAAGAACAAAATACCAATAGAGTACAGACGTAATAAACTAAATAAAAGCTTGTAAAAATGAATTCATTTTAAGTTGTTTTAATGTTATTAAAATAATTCTTAACACACTTGACACAGTAGAAGATTTTTCTTTTAAAACACAGAAAATCAACTAAAAGCTAGATATGTTGATAAACATTGATCAATAATGTATTTCATTGAGGAAACATGTTTCAGTAAACAAATATTAACATAACCTTTTAGAAATTAAAATGCTTAAAATAAAAATTCTATGTCAAACGCTAATGAAAAGAAAATTAAATTTATGTTATTACAAAGTTACAATTAAACAACAACACAACTTAGGCCGATTACTATATAACAATGTGTTTATGTGAAGATGAATAATTTCAATTTAAGTTTCAGTATACATTTTATAACTGTACAAAAGATGTTCCAATTAAAATATTGCGATTGTTATAATTATAACTATGGGACGGTGCGGGCTAGCTGTAGAGAGCTAGACTGCTAACTACCCCAAAAGTCTCGAGTTCAAATTCGGATTCCTGTCAGTAGAACTTCATTGAGTCCACCCATCCCTGATTGGTATCTAACTAAGTTAGGAAAAGTAAAGGCGGCTCGGCACAGTGCTGACCACACTATCCTTTCATATGCCGATGCCGGCCCCATGGACCGTCAGGTTCGAAAAGGGAACTAAAAATTTAAGTTACGTAAAAATTATTATGGAGCCAGCATTATGACAACAAAAAGTAAAATAACGCAAAGTAGTAATAAATTCTTCTCACAAGAAAACGCAATTTAGATTTAAAAGTGAAATCAATGTCAAAAGTCAGATTAAACGTTATTAACAAATAATATTGCGCATAAAAATAAACTAAAGCTATGTTTTTACTTAAAATAATAAGCTTTTCAAAATGCCTTAAAGATCTTTTTGTTGATTTTCTCTAAAGTTAGATAAAATCAACAAATTAGACAGAGCTGGTAAAAGATGTGGTCGATAAAATGTGTTAAAGAGATTACATTCTTGATGCATTACGACGCCGCTCATCCGATTTGCCATGAAACTTTGGTGATTAGATTGAGAATACTCATGAGAAGGTTTCTTCAATTAAAAATGATTACATTTCGGAGAGGCAACGCTCCAGCGGTAAGGTTCGGTTTGGTGCTCAGAGTTTTTTAGCTGCTATCTTAGCATTGTTGATTCGGCGTCTCGTTAGGGTGTCAGGGGTACTACTTGATTCAACGGTCAAACTGCAGTAGGCGGTTGGGTGAGCCGAACACCCCAGGCTCCACTATGAGCTCTATGGCGCATACATTTACTTTAAAAAGTGCCTTTCACTACTGACACGATGTGCTACTAAAATTAAAGACTAAATCTAACACGATTCATCCTTAGGGGCTCCAGTGGTCCTATGACCAAGTGCGTCCCTGGCTCCGCCATAAGCAATGTGACGCCTACGTTTGTTTTAAGGAGCGCCATACTCTACGGATACAGTGGACGACTAACATCGTTGACTAAATCGAATCAGGTACGTAAGCACAAGGCTGTCGTTTGAACCTGAGCGTCACGGCCTCTGCCTTGAGGACTATGGCGTCTGCATTTATTTTAAGCAGCGCCATTTACCCTGTGAACCCTTATGAGTACTATGGCGCCTATATTCCTTTTCAAAAGCACGCTACACTACGGACACGTCGCGCTATTACATTCGATGGTTAAACCGAACCAGCTGTCGCATCCGGTGCCTCTGCGGTGATGTAACCGGTGGCTCCTAATATTGCCTTGTATGCCTCTGACACCTGGGCGGTTCTGGCGTACTAATAGTGAGGGTGATTAACTTACACTCAAGGCTTTCATACAGCACGCCTGGGGAGTCTGAGCGGTAGTGTGGACAAACCGGCGCCCCAAGAACTTTGATTCTAAGACAAAATAGAACAAAAACAAAAAAAA